AAGAAGAAATCAATTATTCGGATCTGGAGAAGATTATATCATGCGCGCAAGACTCCGAAACTTTTACTTGATGTGATTAGCTAGTGTACTTATTGCTTTATTTTGCATGATATGAAACCAAACAATATCAGCTAACTTAATAATTGAAAATATGTTCCCACCAAAAAAGTTGGAAAACTACGTGAGCAACATGATTGAATATGACCAAATATTTGAAAATAAATAAATTAGTTATAGCGCGTGAATTTTGATGAAAAGGAAATTAAGTAATCAAGTGGGGATTTAAAATTAAGAGAAAATGAAGAAAATAAAACCAAACTAATCATATATATATAAAGAGAGAGGATTTAAAGTAACATAAACTTGATTTTTATACGATTGTTTGATCTTTTATAAGGAAAAATTTTAATATAAAATCTTTTTTTAATATTACTAGATGAAGTTTCAGCTATAATGTTACTAAGTCTTTTAAAAGAGGATTATTGATGATTGATATTATTTCCAACACAAAACCTTAACAATGGATTTATACGTCTTTCATCATTATATGACACTTAACATTTTCGTCAATATTTAACGTAGAATTTTCAACAATCTCTTTCTCAAATATTACTCCCTTTACATTTAACTTCCCTCTCAGGTTAACCATAAGTATCCCTAGTATCATAGTGCATCATTAGAGGATATACTTGCATGACCCTTCATCATAAAAACTTTTGATACAAAGACTTATCAAAATCGATCACCAAGACAAACTTTCAAATATGATACTAGTTAATGGGAAGATAACAGAAAAAACAAATAACAAGTGAAAGGAAAACCTATATCAATTATTACCTATATGATTAATATGCAAAATAATAAGATGCACAAAAATAAAGGAGGGAGATATCAAGAGGCACCAAAACTTTTAACTTGAGAAAACCTCAATATGGTAGAAAAATCCGTGAAATTTAGTTCAATAAAATCTTTCACTAACAATAATTAATGGATACACCACAAGTTTTCTTGGAATTTCTAAGGATCAACAAGAAAATATAGTCTTCACTAGAGAGAGAACTCAATAAAACATTTTCGCTTAGATTATTTGAGAACTCTTAAGATATAGACTCATTTGAACCAACCCCTAATTCGAATCTTATATCATTGATAGATCTTTCAAAGAAAGTCATGAAAAAAATGTAACATTAATAAGACGTGAACCAACTCACACATAAAGATTATTATCACTTCAAATTGAAAATTTTAAGAGAGTGAATTTATGTGTTTTTGATCCTTATACGATACTCAACTTTTCTATTTATATTTAATATAAATTCTTAATAATACACATATAAAATATCTCTTAAGCTATCCATGTACTTAAAATAGTTAAGTCCTTGTGATTATTTTTCTTGGATCATTATTATCTTACATCGATCAAGACAAGGAGAATGTTAAAGGAATAGGAATGCATCATATCTCAAGTTTTCGTTAAACAGATAAAATAAGTTTTAACTGAGATTGGACGATTGAAGATATTCATAACCTATCATAAGTAGTAAAGTTACATGGTCTTAGGAGTACAATTTGTTGCATGATGCTATGTTTTCAATAACAGCACAAATACATCCCCTTGACAAGTAGAGAAGGAAATTGAAGAAGTAATTGACTTATTGTTTTCATGAAAATAAAGTCCTGCGAAAATGTTTTCATGTGGTTATTGTTTTGGATTTTTAATTAATTTTGAATAGTTATTACTTTATTTTTGAAGTTCACACGTATCTAATAAAATAAATAATATAATATTTAAAATAAATAATGCAGTATCAAAGAGTTATCCTACAAACATTAGGGAAATGTTGAAATAAAATAAATTCAACAAGTAGTGTATAATTTAAATTAGTATAACTTTAATTATATAACAATATTAAAAAAACTTTAAATCCAAACACGTTAATTAGTTTGCATCACTTTAAAGGAGTCATATATAGCCTGTTAGAGGCATCCAAATTAACTCTTAAACTCATCTTATTAGAGCCTTTAAACAAACTCTTAAATCAATTTTAATCAAAACCATAAAACAAAAATCAATTTAGTGAACTGTAGGAGGTTCAACACACACACATACATATAGATATCTCCACAGTAATAAGATATTGTCCGCTTTGGTTAAGTCCTCACGGATTTGCTTTTGGTACCACTCCAAAAGGCTTCTTAACAATAGAGATATGTTATGTGTATATAAACCCAACATAAACTACACAAATACTTACTCCTACTCGTGTATTCTTTCTTTCTAGTGAACTTTTTAATCATCATGACAGTTATCAGATACATTTATCAGAATATAACAATTTTTCTCCTTTTACTTGCAACTTTTGCCTGTAATGGCATGGACCTTTATCATGATGACTTTCACTATGCTATGATTTCTCCCTTGTTATTTTTGTTGGATAAAGAAACATCATCTACAATATCAATATAGCGAAAATAATTTCTCCACATTTATAAGAATATTAACGATGATTACAAACACTCCATTTTCTATTCAACATTTATCCAACACCAACAAAATAATATCTTTATTGTAAAATATAAAATAATTTAGAATGAATCAACTAGAAAATTAAAAAAAAAATTCATTACATGCTAGGGTAGAAAAATTAAGAGGTGTACATTAAAATTTTCCCCAACAATAATATAAAATAACACTAACATTTTTAACATGATGAGAAGTAAAAACACATGGGTACAAAAGAGTTGAATGAAAGATACAAAATAAGTGCATACAGCCACAAATATTTCAAAGCAATCATGTTCACAAATAAAAAAAAAAAGAAAAAACTTAAAATAAAACAACAATAAGAAATTGATCTCTTTAACTATATAATTTCAATTGACAATTTCTATGGTCAACATATAGAACCATATTCTTCAAATTTATTGTCACAATTTCAGTTCCATTCCACAATAAATAAAGCAATAATTATAATTAATTATATTATGATAGTTCAATGAATATGTCAACCAATCTTTTCTCTTCTAAAAACTGTGAAATTTATCCTCTTTTTTGACATTGAACATACCATTATTTTTAGATTGAGTGAGACAAAATGAGTTTGAGTAAACCCAACAACAAGTTCAAAAATTTGTAAAATAGAAAAGTTGAAAAAGAGAGAAGAAGGAAAAATGAATAAGTTATTGAAAAAGGTGCGTGAGAAAAGGAAAAAAAAATATATTAAAGATTAAATGCAGAGAGGTTTCAAAATTGGAAAGAAAGAAAATAAAAATGAAAGTAATGCTGATTTGACTATTGAGAAGAAATTAGTATTACTCTAACCTACTTTCGTAATAAAATATATTTAATTATTTTTATATTTACAAGATAACATTGGTATGATTAATGTAATTATAAATTATAACTAATTAGTCAATGAAGACTAGTTTTAAACTATCTGAATATTTAAAAGTAAAATAAAATAAAATAAGCTATTAATAGGGTCAGTTTAATCAATTTTAAGTATAAAATATTATTAATTTCAAAAACTTATAAAATATTAGTGACTTTAATAATAAAATAAATTTAACTTATAAAATGTTTGTTACATGACATTGACTGGAGTAACTCTTATAACTAAATATATTTAAAATTTGAAAAAAAAAAGTTATATTATGGCAAGCTTTTATATATATATATATATATATAGATTTGTGAACAAGTACTAATTTAGTCCAATTGTTTAATATAAAATTTGTTTGATATAAAATTACATTTAGTTCTCTCTTTAATGTGGTATATTTTAAATGGAGAGTCTCACATTTACATTTTTCAAAAATATACTATTGTATTAAAAAAAGTCTTGAAATCGTTTTATATAATGAGATAAAGTTTTCTTCCTATGGAATATTTAAATACGTGTATTCAAGAGTAATATAAATATGGTATTGAAATATAAGTTTTCTTTCTCTCTCATCGACATCCTCCCATGGTGATTCAAAGATGGTACAAAGTCATCCAAGTAAACTTAATTAGTAACACTTTTACATATTACAAAAAAATGATTCATATTAATATGTATAATCTTATTAACAATCCGTACTGCAATTAAGGCAGCAGGTTAATAAATCTATTTAGTGTATTCTTTAAATTTGTCACATGAAAAAGTAACCTATATTAAACAAATATATGTTATGTTCTTATGTTTTCTCATATTATTACTTGGAATACCATTCATGGGCAGTATCATCTTCCAATTTAAATAATTTCTTAATTTATTAGTCACTTCTAGGAATTAAAATAATTTTCTAATCCTTATAATTTCTATCATTCTTAAAATTTAAATTACAATTTTAAACAACTTATTATATTGTTATAGGAAAAATTAACTTCAATATTTCAAATTTAAATAGCTAACTGATATATTTTAAATATTTAAAAATAAAAATTTCAATATCAACTCACCATTATATCATTAATAAAACATTAATATATTATTAGAATTGAAATCATATAAAACATTCACAAATTTAGTTTTAATAATAAAAAAAAAATAGAACACAATCCTTAACAGCATTTCTTCATAAAAAATAAACCAAGAAAATAAACACAGACCTTTATATGGTGAGCAATCACTAGAAAGCTATTTTTGCCATAAGAAAATAATACAAAAAAAAAAACATGTACATTTACGTGCTATAAGAAGATAAAAATGTTATTCAAATTTAACACGCTAACCTAATTTAAAAGAATTTGAAATAATTATAAAAATCATGCTTTTTTTTTATATCTATGGAAATGCAAAGTAACTTGAGTGATTAACCCATTTTTTCATGAGGTCTCCATCGTTGTGCTCTCTACTTTAGAAGATTTATTTTAACATGTATTTTTATTAGCTCCTAATAGGAATGATCTAAAGTAGTATATACATAATATTAATTTTAAAGAATAATAAGACTTTATTATGATAAAACCATGTTTATAAATTGAAAATATAGTTGTGATTAGAAAGAAATGACAGTGTTGGGGTTCGGTCCCAGAGATCGGCTGTGCCGGTACGTACTTTCAGAAGCCGAAGCCATTTTCAGATGTTGTGGCGTTGTCAGGCTTCACTGAGAGATGCATGAGCCACTCCAGAATTGTCCATATATCAGACCCCACTCTCCTTCAACCCTTTCAATTCCCATCTTTTCTTCTCTTTACATCCATCTTTCTCTCTTTGCCTAACATGAACAACACCTCCACCCACGACTTCATGAACGTAGATTCCTTCTCTCAGCTTCCCTTTCTCCGCTCCTCTCCTTCCAAAGATAAAGACAAATCCATTCGTCTCTTTGGCCAGGATTTCTCCCACGCCCCCAAAACCACCCATACACCCTCCGACAACCACCACAACCACACCATCAACACACAAAACGCCGAGCCCACCCGCAGATTCGAGTGTCATTACTGTTGCAGAAACTTTCCTACTTCTCAAGCCTTAGGCGGCCATCAAAACGCCCACAAACGAGAACGCCAACACGCCAAACGACACCTCCACTCAGCCATGCTCGACACCACCCTCCTCTCCGATCCTACCACCTACGCTTTCACAAACCCCACCTTCAGTTCTTCCACAGTCTCTTATTCCTCTCACACAGCTTGGGATTGTAACGCTGCTAGCGGAAGGTTCTATGGAAGCTACTATCCTCACCTGCTTCAACCCATCAATGGAAGCCCCTTGGGCGTGTGGCGAATCCCCAACGCCACTGCAGCCACTCACACCCACCACCAGAGTAACCCTATTTTACACCGTCAATGCGCCTTGCCTTTGCTTTCTGGCCAGGAAATGGTGAGGGCGAGGATGGGTCCCTCCCCTTCTGGCTCGCAGTTTGGTTATGACCTCAAACCCAGCGTAAAGGACCATGTGAGTTTGGATCTTCATCTGTAACATCAATTTTACACACTTACACTGGTTTCTATACATGCCAATAACATCTCCTGCTCCCACAGGCTCTGATGGTATATATCAAATTTGAGAATTTTCATCTGTTATTGTTGGATCTTTGTTCTAATGATGATTCTCATATCGATCACTGTTTTTATATAATCTTCTTTCCTTTAATTACGATCCTTTTAGCACCTACCTCATGAACTTTTACACTTAAGATTTCCTTTGGCTTTTTTGTTTTACTTTCATCACATTTCAACCTTTTTACATGCCCAAAAACGCAAACACTTTTATTTACGGTTACTGTTCTTTTCTTCTTGTAATCCATGGTATTAAGCACAAGTTTCCTCTTTCTTATAGATACATTTATTGGGAGTCCTAAGTCTACTTTTCTCATCATTTTCATTCTCTTTATTCTTTATCTCTCTTTCTATTTGGTCTAATGATTAAGAGTGGCCATTCCTTAACACTTTTCTTTATAAATTAATTTATCAATTAATATTTATTATTTATTTCAATGTTTACATTACCACTTCTCTCTTTTATTGGCTGTCAACTAAATTAAGGTGTCCACTAATAATTTTTAAAGAATAATGTGTCAAAAATCACTGTTTGTTTCTTTGAATAATTTTTAGATATTTTTTGTTATATGAAAAATTTATGTATTGGATACTTTTATTGTGATTTCTGTGTTCAATAAAACCTAATAAATAATTTTTTCTGGGTCTGAAACTTAACTTTGAGTAGTCTTATTATTACACATGAGTCGTTGAGCTTTTTAATGTTAAAAGGTGACTCTCTTCTTCCCTATTAGATGGGGAGAGGAAAGAGGGCTTTTAGATGTATTGTACTATGATTTATTTTATAGATTTAATTAAGTGAATATTTAATCATTAATTGTATGTAATACTTTTTTTCAAATTATTGTTTTCAAACTGGTATCTGAAATTATTCTTGATTTAATATGTGTAGTTAAAGAACTGATATTGAGAACATGTAGGGACCACACTTTAGTCCAATAGCACATAGAGAATGGATATGGAATGATTCTATGTATGGAGATTGATTTGATTGCCTTTTGGTATAAAAATCAAACTAAAAAAGAACAACATGATAAAGCTATGATTAAACTTAATAGGAACTAAATAGTTTTTTGGGTATCTTAAAATTTACTAGAATCATATGGGTTCATCATTGTTAAAGGATTATAAAGACATCATTTATGAAATAATAACAACGAAATTAAATCATTTTAAAAACTAAAGACATATTTAAAAGCTAATTATTGATTAAGGACACAAACAACAAACTTGTTTTGTTTAGATATGATAAACCAGTTCTCATTTTTGTAATCGTGAAACGTTTCAATCCACACAGCTTTTCTTGGTTTTGAAAAGGAGAGTAAAGAGAGAGCATAAAATATATGTAGATGGAGCCACTGTGCTAGGTTCTACTACTTTCGTTTTGCATAGTCACTCACGTCACTCTCGGCCTGCACTGGCTGAGAAAATTGTCCACTCGTGTGGGGATGATGTAAAGCGTTCAAACAGGTGAGCGCGCATGAACATTTTGTCCGAACACACGTGTGCGTAATTCTTGCACGTTGGCAGACAGGTCTAGTGCCGACAGAGGTGGGTTCAGATTTAACGCAGTGTGGACAACGTTCGATAATATCTGCTAAAATTTTACAGATGAGAAAATGATATTTAATTGCCATTTTCTGGCACGGTTGCTCTCCAAAATTAACATCCAATACACCTTTATGCCCCTTTTGTTGTTAGTTTCCAGTGCATTGTTTATCAGGAGAGAAAAAGACATCTGCATGTGTTTTTCTGCTTTCTATGTCTTTTACTCTTTTATGATTAATTAAGATGCAATATGGAACCTCATTTCTATGAGACCTAGGGCTTACAAAACAAAATCTCCAATATAATTAATAAACACTTAATCATCTACTTCTCCAGCTTTCTCTTGCTCTCTCTATAAATCTATTAATGGGAGAAAGGACATTTCGCAACAAAATGTCAGTCCTTGTTTTGCTGTTCCTTACGGTTAATTTAGGTTGACTCAAAGGCTGCTGTTATTTTTTTTAACCTCCCGGAGAATCAATATTAAACTCTGAAAATATTTTATATTATATATATATATATATATATATATATATATATATATATATATATATGGTTTAATTAGTGTTTTAATTATTTTGTTTGTTTGATTTAATTTGGTCTTCTTTTTTCAATTTAGTTTTTTAATTTTTAAAACAGTTCGATTTAATTTTGATTGTTAGTTTTATATAAACATGTTAAGATAATGCTCATATGTCACATTGGAACATAAATGTGGTAGATATGTTAATTTTGGAGTGCAATTGGACGGGACGAGACGACGACAACATCCTTTTATAGAGATATTTTTTTTTTCTCATTTCCAAACTCCATATTTCATCTTCTGTCATTTTTAAACTACATCTTTACATTAATTATACCCATTCTTCTTCCACTACCACTCATCATCTCCATCTTCCTCCTCATGACCCAAGGCCCTCATCATCACCACCATCCTCTGGGCCTTCATCTTCTAATCATAAACTCAATAAACCACACACTCCATCTTCACTGCAATAACACTACATAGAGAACCAACTCCCCCACACACCCTTTACTTTCATTTTTTTCCTCCCATCCATTACAAACCACCATCAAACACCATTCTTTCCTCCAACCAACACACCATTATTCATCACAACATAACCCAACCTCACCTTCAACCTTCATTTTTATTCACTTCATCACTCCTATTTTAAAAATCTAACACTAGTGTAGAAAAGAGATATGGTAACAATTTTGTTCGATAATAGACAAAACATATTAAAATAAGGTAAAAAGAGAGAGTTTTTGACATTGATTATGAACTGAAGCAAAAATGTTAATATTTTGCTTAAGTTAAAATAAAACAAAGCACTAAACTAAAAATAAAAAATAAAAACTAAAAAATTGCTTATTTAACATCGGTTATGCTAATGTCATGTATCCTTTCTAATTCAAAATAATCATTTAATTTTAAGGGTCTTTGACATATATTTTCATTAAAATTAAGGTCAAATACCTTTAAAGTTAAATAATTATTTTTAATTGAAAAGAGTATGTCACCTCAATTATAAACATAACTGCATGTCCATTCGGTTATAAGAATAACCTAGATCCAAAGTTGTTTATTTTTTTTAAGTATTTTTTCTAAAAGGGTATTTGATTTTGGTTGACTTGAACCAAAGCTCAATACCTCTTTCTACTTTAGTTTTACAAATAATCGAGGTCTAATACTTTTTTTTAATTTTTTTCTTTGTGAAATGGTATTTGATTTTGGTTATGACCTGAATCGGAGTCGAATAATCCTTTTTGCTTCGGTTTTGGTTATAACCAAAGCCTAATGTTTACTTTTTTAAAAAATATTTTTCTTGTTTTTCTTTCATCTTACATATAAAACTTGCACAAAATCTATCATAGAATACCCATATATAATAGAAACAAAATATGATATCCAGAACAAAAATGTAGAGAATTGATGCAGTAATGACGATGTTGATTCACAAAGAAGAAAGGAAGAAGACAATTGTAGTAAAAGTGGTTTACCTTAAATTCTATCACAAATTTTATGCTTTTGAAATTTTAATCAACCTTTTGGCATCAGTTATTCAAAAAATCAAAGCAGAAAGCATAATTGACATCAATTATGTAAGAAATAATGCCATATGTCCGGTTTAGAAAAAATAAATAAAACAATAGTGAGATTTTTGAAAAATTTTGAAAATTTTAGGACACCTTTCGACCTCGGTTGTCTATTAACCGAAACCCAGAAGTATATGACTTCAGTTGTTTTGTACCCGAAGTCATATGTCATGTTCATATAAAAAATATAAATAAAAATAAAATTTTTGAAAAAATTTAAAATTTTTGATGCATATTTAGGTCTCTATTCTCTGTTAACTAAAGTCAAAAGAAGTATATGACTTCAATTATTTTGCAACTAGAACTTACAAGTTCGTAAAATTTTTAACAATGTCATTCATTTTCTTTAAGACCGAAGCATATTACTTGAGTTAAAACACCAAAACTACACTAGTGTAATTTCATTTTCCCAAGCTCATCATCCTTTCTACATCACTATTTTCTATTTCCTCAACACCATTCACTTGCAAACAGAGAAACACCTCATCATTTCTACACAAGCACCCTAAGCACCGCTACATTTCTCCATCTCCACTGCATTCACAAATAATAACCAACCAAAACAATACCCAAAAACCAAGACCAATTGAAAAACGGGAGAAGAAGAGTGAATGGTAGTGAAGAGAAGGGAGAGAATAGCAACGTGTCTGATCGGTGGTGTGATGACAGAACAAATTAATTAAAAGTTTTTGTTATTATATGATACATATTTAAAAGTTTAAAAGTGTAATTAATTAAAGAAAAAATTGTTTTTGTTAAGTATATATTATAGGATATGTGAGTAAAAACTATGGAGGATCCCGAGGTGGAATGAAAAGTGATGTAATGGGTAGGTGATAATTGAAAGTTGAAGTGACGAGTTAATTACTAAGTTGATGAGTAACGTCCCATACTAGGGAGACATCGGTCACTTATTAATGTCTTGTCTGCAAACTCAAATTAATTAAATCTCATCATTCAGGAGCAGTGATAGACTGAGTGCTTTTGACTTTAAAATGACAAAACCAACCCTTAAGAAAAGGATTTATCAAGGAACAAATGAACATGGTTGTTAGAGTACCATCTTTATTTTCACATCTTCTGTACGTTTGCTTTTGTGTCCGATATATATATATATATATATATAGTGAGAGAGAAACAGATGTTAGATGGCTTAGATTTGAAATGAGTGGGGCTAGGAGATTCCTTCTCGAAGAGACCAAGGACATCTATGTTTAATAACAATAATACTGTAATACCTATCTGCTCAAGAAACTCATCAAACACTAATCACAAATTATAAATTTTAGCTTCAGTGTCATCATTCTAATGTCTACTTCAATCATGTATTACTTGACAGCACAAAATTTCTATGTCAGCAGAAGCTACCCAAATTTGTACCTAAAGAGAATTTTTCAGAAGGATTCTACATCCTTGTCATTTCACCAGCTTCATGGTTAAA